GTCCCATGTCATGCTTTTCTGGTTCTTACCCGTCCCCTTGTGTGTTATGAAGGTTGTTCTGCATGTGAACGGTCTGCAGAGTCAAAACCCTCAAAGTAACTACTTCTCTTGTAGGCATGAGTAAACCTAACCACAGGTCTTTCTCTGTGTAGAGTTATTAACTCCCCCATACTATGGGTGTAACTTTGGAGAGGTGTTTTGGTGACTATCTGACCGTGGTTTTGACTCTGCAGACCGTTCACATGCAGAACAACCTTCATAACACACAAGGGGACGGGTAAGAACCAGAAAAGCATGACATGGGACCTTTAAAACGTATCTGGTTATATTTACTGTAAGTTTAAAAGTGATTATTGCAGAGTAACACATGTTGATAGAAACACTTTAGGAGCCTTCAAATCCTAAATCCTAACGTCTTTAGCATTTTGATCATATAATGTAGGGCTGTGTGTTGGCAGGAATCTGGCAAACTGTTCAATTTGTTTTAATCTAATCAAAACAGTCAAAAATAAGCGCACCATTTGCATATCAATTGTGAAATTACAGCAATCAAAGCACTGATTTGAGTGAATATCAGAGTGCATCATATAAACCATTGATTACAAATATATATATAATCATAATTAAAATGGTTTTTAATCGATAAAAAAAACTAAGAGGGGAAGATATCTTTGCAAAAAATGAGAATTCAAATAGTATTAGGTCTTCAACCTTCCTAAATGTTCCCACACCACGCCGCTCCTCCGCTCCCTTCACTGGCTTCCAGTAACTGCTAGAATCCACTTCAAGACACTGGTACTTGCGTACCATGCTGTGAATGGATCTGGCCCTTCCTACATCCAGGACATGGTTAAACCGTACACCCCAGCACGTGCACTCCGCTCTGCATCAGCCAAACAGCTCGCTGCACCCGCACTGCGAGGGGGACCCAAGTTCCCATCAGCAGAAACACGTGGGTTTGCTTTCCTGGCTCCAAAATGGTGGAATGAGCTCCTCATTGAAATCAGGACAGCAGAAAGCTTACACATCTTCTTCAGACTGAAAACTCATCTCTTTAGACTCCACTTCGAGAGATAGAATTACTAACAAATCACTTATATACTAATAAAGGACTGGCTTATCTAAAGCCAGTTGAGTAGCACTTGAAATGTTTTGGCTCTATGAAACCTGATGTACTTATATGATTCTGTTTTCTTCAAGTTTGTATTTTGTTGGTCGAACGCACTTATTGTAAGTCTCTTTGGATAAAAGCCTCAGCTAAATGTAATGTAATGTAATATTAAAAACATGATATTGCGTTATAATACCGTATGGATATTTTCATACATTTGGGCAAATGTAGAAAGTTGTGTACTCTCCACATCATCATATCTGATCAATCTAACATCACACAAACTCACCTGCAGTACCTGAAACACTACATTATTATAACATGGATTTTAAATTGGACCAAAGAGGAGATAATAAAGTACATTTACGGCTTTTTATCAATGTAATATCAGGTTCTTTAGACCCAGATTATGTCAACACACCCCAATAAATGCCAGATAACGTCCAAAATGATGTCTTTTAAACTCCCAGCGCTTCGTTTGATTGGTTATTTTAATATGTAAGTTACAAAGCGAACTCCTAATGAAGTCTGTCTGACCTCTGAGGTTAGAAATACTCGTAATAAAACGCTGGCAGCGGTTTAGTAATCAGCGAATTTGGATTTCTGGGACTTTTCATTTCAACATGAGCTGCTGAATAATCTGCGGCCAAAACAGCAGCTGAAAAAAATCAAATGGGAACATATTATTGGATCCAATCGTCATGACGCCATGTGCAAAAACACTGACTCACAACTAACCAATAGGGATAGACGTGCATCATGCAGGATATTTGACAAATTGCAACCTAATGTAACTGACACACCTTCGTACACAACGCTTATGTCAAAAAAACAACATATTTTTTAGTTTTTAAGGCCAAATGTGCTTCGTTTTCAATTATTTACCTCCTTCTTTTGACTGGATTGTAATTAAAACTCAAAATGATCACATTTATTCGTGTTTTTCTGGTCATTTCCATCACAGATCCGTCCGAACCACAGATCGTCTTCGCAGTGATAATGATGTATGTTCAGTTAAACCCGTAGATCTGCTCATGAACCTCGCTTTATTTGCTGATGCAGATTTTGGCGTCCAATCTGCGCGAGGGCATTACTGTATGTTTGAATAGATGGGATGGACGGACAGATAGGCAAACAGCAGCGGCCCTTTTCATTTTAAAAGCCTCTGTGTGTTTTTTCATTCCTTCTTCTCTGTTTGGGGGACCAGATGGCGAAAGGGGGCACGGAAGCGCCTCTTTTGTCCGATTCGCCCTCAGTGAAAAGACCCTGTCGTCCTCCCCTTTTAATGTAATCAGCGGCACCGGAAGGGTCCATTTTGGGGGCTCTTGTGAAAAGAAGACAATTGGGTTTTTTGGACACGTCTAGATTACAGAGTTCATCTCCCCCCTTTGACACGGAGGATCCTCAGCTTTGATCAGTGGAGGGTGGAGGTGCTGATCCGACCTCACGAGGGTTCAAAGGTCCGACCCCCATCCTCCGAACTGTTTAAACTGCACTTGGCTGCTCCTTCCGGAAGAAACCAGGGGGTTGATTTGGGCATTTTGGGGGATACCATGACCTGTCTAGACCATCTTGTGTTGCCCTGGTGTTTCCAAGGGGACTTAATGAACTTTGACCTCAACTATAGTTGGTTAGGAGACACTTTGGTCATCCTAGGAAGCAGTTTTTCTGTTTTAATTTCCACTTTTGGGGGTGGGGAAATGAGGCGGGTGACCCACATTGTATAAAGAATCTGCTTTGAGGGAATAGAAGCGTGGCAAAAACGTCCTTTTTTATTTTTAAAATCCTGTGACATCTGCAGTTTGGACATTAAGATCTTCGCCTCTCAGCTTAGAGATGTATATCAGTGTGCTTCAGGTCGTCTGATCCCACAATAACTGAATTACATTTTTGTATTGTTACTATTAATTCATGACATACTTTGGAAGTATTTCTTTTTTATTTGTGACATTTACAAGGAGTCAGTTTTAATTTATTCATGACATTTTTTTTCATGACATTCTTTGGATTTAAAAAAGAAATGTGACTCGCACAGGAAGTCCATTTTTGTATTTATTTATCAATTTTTTTAATTGTCAGTTTAATTTGTGACACGTATTGGAAGTCCATGTTTTTATTTTTCATTTTTGGACGTTTTATTCCACATGCGCAGTAAGTAAATCCAACATTTGTCTTACTTCTCAATCTCAACAAGCATTTTGTGGTTAAACCCAAACATATATTCATTGAGATGTTTTTTTATTTTGAAAGCCTAGCTGAGTAATGCTCGTCTTCCTGAGCTGCTTTTAAGGCGTGCCTTGTTTACAATATATTTTATTTTAAATCATTTTATTTTATCTGTATTTAAATTGCATGTTTGTGTCTCTTCCCAACAATGACTCTCCTTTAATGTGTACTTACACACAGCGTATGCAAGTTTGATTTCATTGAAAAGCGAGAAAATATAGTTCATTATTTTAAATATAAGCAAAAAAAAAAGCATTATTTTGCTCAGATTCTCGCCAACACTGACATATCGTATTGATGTTGACTTTTGTACTATTCGCTGTATGGCCTTACTCTTGATGTTGAGTATGTCATTTAAGATTTCACATTTTAAATTGTCTTGCAAAAACGAGGATGAAATGTTTTCAAATTGTGAGAATTACTAGGTTTTCGTGATGTCTCGGCGACGCGTGCATTTCGCTCCAATTTCTCGCGTCATACCTGGATTCTCGCCGGCTTTGCACCACCACACAAACCCCAATGTGTGTGTTTGATATCGAGGCCGTTCCTCAGTGTCTGTAGTGACTCCTCCATCATGGCCGCCGTTGCCACTTCTTCCCAAAAACACCCCGCCCTCTCGCCCGCCTGCCACTCAGGAAGCAGTTAAAATGGCAGCATGGCAGCAGAATGAGTGAAAGGGAGAAAAGGGAGAGACGCCCACCGCTGTGAGCTGGAAACGGTCGACTGAACCGAGGCTTTCCTCGTACGCCAGGCGAGATGATTATTATTTCTCAGTGTATCCGGCCGAGTGAGAACAATGTCGAATCTGAAGGAGTCTAGACAGGTAGATTGGGGCGGAAACCAGTGGAGGGGTTAACCAAAAAGCAGGGGTTCACACAGTCTTCATTTGTCAGGGTGCAGAAGCAAATAGTGAGAATTAATGCTATAAAGCTCATCTACACATGGTTGGCGAAAAACCCCTTGGCTAGTGTTGTCATAGTGCAGATAAATGGGAAATCAAATATGCTTTTTTCTGACCGTTACTTTAAATATAAGGTCTTGGCCAACTGCCATTTCATTCTCCACATTTTCCGTTGGCGAACAAGCACACGCTGAGAAAGGTTAGGAGGGTTATTTTAACAATCCAACCTTATCCAAGTAACCCGATTACTCTCCGTCAATATCAAATGCAATGCAAAGATTTTTTTTTACTTAAGTGTATTTTGTAAGACCGCAGAACAATGTGACCTTAGAAAAGAAAGATATTTAGGATCAGAAATGATTTTATTTAAAGGAAAACCTGCCTTTCGTTGTAACTATAAGGGAATACAGTTACCTTTTGTTGTATCCTGATTATCTGCTTGCATATGGTCTGTTATTCCCTGCTCGCTATATTAATTATATATACGTGTCTTAATTGTAATTTCTCTCAGCGTTGGCCACAGCGTGATTTAAATTCTGCTCTGCTACAGTACAGAATATCAGTGGCTATATTCCCTCTTAATGTACAAAGTGCTGTGATCATTTGAACCCTTTGCTCTTACTCTAACAGCTCCATGCATGTGCTTATTATGTCATCTACTCAAACCCAATTAAAGCAAGCTATACGCTACAGCAACCCAATGCTGTTTGAATGAGTAGATGTGTGTGTGTTAATGCCGTCTCAATAACCCATCATCTGCAGGTCTGGCTGCCACTTCACAACAACTCCATTGCAACAACTGCCTGGTGGAGAATGTTAAGGTGAATTATTTTTAGGACTTCTCCTCACTCTGAATGACATTTTTCTTATTGTCTCGTGGTGTGAATGTGTTGTTTGTGCTTCCCTCCACAGTGCAGAGTGGACGAGGAGGAAGATGTCATGCTAAGGATGGGTTTTGGTGATGATGTTGCTGCTGTTGATGCTCTCACTTTGTGCCTCTGTCAGTTGTGATGCGTAACCACAGAGTGAGTGACAGTTGGGTCCCGAGGGAGAGCAGGGGGCCTGAGGTGAGTCGGATGTATCCTTGACCCTGTCTCACTGTGTCAGCAAGAGACAAAACTCGGTAACAAAGGCCAGAGAAGGCATGACTGTACATTGTACATCTTAATTTCTGAATATAGAGGGAGGCTGCAGTGGCCGACAGGTGCAAACAACAGACACACAGTAAGGGGAAACACGCTGTAGCTCCAGAAAGGATGCAGATATAAAAACACAAATGTTCCAAAACATCTTCAGCAACTTAAGAGATTCATGGCGTCAGAGAACAGGATTTAGGAAACTTAGAGGATAGGTGATAGGAATTGGGTCCCCAAGGGTTTGCAACGGCACGGTCCGTGGGGTATATCGTAATAGGAGACCGCCCTGGGGGACACCGTTAAAAAAAATTTACTACACGTGTTCACGGGGGCTACATTGTACGTCACGCAACGGTGATGTAAACCGCGGAAGACGGACTAGTTTCGACAGTGAGGCGAAAGAAACGGACAGTATCGGGGTGACGGGGTAGACTTGTGTGTGGGTGTGTTGCTCTGGTCAGTTCAGGTAAACTCTACTACATAAGTAGATTTTGAACCGTGATGTAAACCGCGGAAGACCAGAGGGTAGACACACGCAGTGAGAAATCACAGGGGACCAGAGGGTCAACACACACGCGGTGAGAAATCACAGAGGACCGGAGGGTCGACACACGCAGTGAAAAATCACAGGGGACAAGAGAGTCGACACACGCAGTGAAAAATCACAGGGGACAAGAGGGTCGACACACGCAGTGAGAAATCACAGGGGACCAGAGGGTCGACACACGCAGTGAAAAATCACAGGGGACCAGAGGGTCGACACACGCAGTGAGAAATCACAGGGGACCAGAGGGTCGACACACGCAGTGAGAAATCACAGGGGACCAGAGGGTCGACACACGCAGTGAGAAATCACAGGGGACCAGAGGTCGACACACACAGTGAGAAATCACAGGGGACCAGAGGGTCGACACACGTAGTGAGAAATCACAGGGGACCAGAGGGTCGACACACGCAGTGAGAAATCACAGGGGACCAGAGGGTCGACACACGCAGTGAGAAATCACAGGGGACCAGAGGGTCGACACACGCAGTGAGAAATCACAGGGGACCATAGGTCGACACACACACGTAGTGAGAAATCACAGGGGACCAGAGGGTCGACACACGCAGTGAAAAATCACAGGGGACCAGAGGGTCGACACACG